CGCAGTAAGAGAACAAGGGCCGAGAACGAGAGTAAGACAACGGCAAACCTGATTCGCCGAGCGTTTGGATCAAACAGGCCACTCATCCATGATTGTGTGGTTCGGCTGGCTGCTGGCGGCTGGCGGCTGTCTGGGGCTGCGCCACTTCCACTCACCCTTTGCGCGTTTGTTGGTTGTTTCTCTGTTCACCTTCGTATCCACAGATCAGCACAGTCCCCATCCTCCCCGGGCCTGCCACGGCAGTTGGCAGAGGCAGCTGTTGGCCCCCGCCATGTCCAGCTCCGCCCCGCCGGCCCTCAGCGCCCGCAGCGCCTCCAGCGCCGCCGCCCACCGCCCGGAGGCGCCGCCGCCGCCGCCGCCGAGGCGGTCGTCGCGCCGCAGGAGGCCGCAGAAGGCGCTCAGCGCCAAGGCGTCCAACGGCACCGAGGCGGCCCTGACGGCAACCATCGGAGCCGGGGGGCGGTTGAAGTCGAGCCGGCACTCGGAACTCTGAACTCCGCCAAAGGAACCCCTCGAAATTCGACAGCCCGCGCCAAGCAGCAACCTGGTCGAGCAACTACTCATGGCACCCAGAATCCAAGCCTTCTGCAACCCGAACCCCCCAGCATCTGCTCCACTCCGGAGCTTGTCTGGGCAGACCCCATTGCATAGTTTTAAGCTATAGAACGATCTACCGAAGGGTGCAAGCTGGGCGATCCTTTTCCAAAGCTTGACTTGCACTTCATTTGGAACGTCTGGAACCCCCAAGGCCCCGCTCCCGAAACCGGCGCGAACCCGCCAGCCGAAACCGCTTCGACGCCTCATCCGCCTCAGCACCTCCCCTGCAAAGCGCCAGGACGTGCCCTTGGACAGGGCCGCGGTGTAGCAGCGGGCGTCCAGCGCCTGCCGTGTTTTTTTTCTTTTCTTTTTTGGAAGCCAAAAAGGAAAACACCACGCGCTGAAGGAATGATGGAAGACACCCCCTATGTTCGACCCACGTTCCGTTTGGATTGAGTGGTTTGGAGGGCTATGTCGAGGGTACCCTCTTTTGGATTGGCTAGAGGGAAATTGAAAGGAAACCACAATTTGGAGAATCCCTCTTTTGTCGCATCCCCATTTCGATCCTTGGGGGGAATTGGCCTACAGTTCCCCAAGTTCCATCCTGCCCGCTCAGCACAACATGAACCATCAATAACACTCTCGGAGTACCGCCATCTATCTTGGCCGAGTGACTGGTATTTCCCACTTTCACAGACCCACCGAAAGGCTTAAGAAAATGGGCGGCCACAAATAGGAGCAAATCAGTCCATTGATGTATGCCGATGCTTGCACATGTCCACCTGCCTATACCTGGGTCTTCCATTTTGTCACTTTTTAGGGCTCTGGGTGTTTTTTTGGCTCAATTCAGATTTTGAGCGGAAAGACTAAAAATGAGCGGAAATCTTGATTTGGCATGATTTGGCAAGTTGTCTCCCGGAAAATGAGCGGAAATCGGCGGGAAATGAGCGGACATGTGCGGACCAGAACCACTTTCCAATTGCGTGTTTTCTTTCCAATGGAGCGTTGTTGGATGAAATGAGCGTTATTTTTGCTCGAAACGAGAAAATCCAGAAAAAAGTGCCCACGGAAGACCCAGGTATCTATACAAATGGCGCCTGCCGCCAGTATCTGACTTGTGCAGAAACCCTGTCTAGTTCGTTCCGGAAAGCATACGCTTCAAATAGTTGTCTAAACTCCCTTTTCCTGGCTAGCAACAGCCAGTAGATCCTGATTCATCACGTCAGTGTTCTTGACTTGCGAACGGCAATACGCTTGAACAAGCATGGATCTAATTATAATACAGCCCATTTATTGGCGCACGTAGCTCCACAAGAATCATCAACAAATTTGCGAGTCGGCATGGATGATGCATCTTGCTTCAGAAAATGGCACAAAGCTACAGGCTCCAACCAACACATGAACATGCCCTTGACAGAGACCACACTGACCTGGAGATTGTCGCGGGCTCCAAAGCGTGTGGATTCGGGCCCTTTCGCTAAAGCAACATCAGCATATAGGTGCAGAAAAATCGGAAGTGAGATCCAGGCAACGTGGACGACTGTCATAGGAACCAGAGCCCACGTTTCCAACCGCCGTGAGCGAAACCAAAAAGAACGTGTAAAAAACACATGGTGAAAAACTTGATTCCACCTTTTCAGCAGCCAAGGCCGGCTTTTGCTTTTCAAGGCCGCCCCATGCGCCCCCGAAAAACTCCGCGCCACGCGCTGGGCGTGCAGCAGGTCCAAGAGGCCCAGCGCCAAAACGGGCTCTTTGGGCGAAAGGACCTGGTCTCATGGGATGGGGGCAGCCAGGTAGCCCATGCCAGGCCCCGGAATTCCATTAAGGACAAAGCCGGCACAGCTCTCTGTTTCTCCGTTTGGTAGCAAAAAGGAAGAAAGAATGCAAACCAACCCACCCAGTTCTCCGGGCAGGAATGAAATCGTCCCCAAGGGGAGGGGTTGGGTCCAGCTCCATTGCTTCGAGCTTCTCCCGCACAGAAAGGCACCGGAACCCCGGACCCGTTGTCGCCCGAAAGATGTCCCGCTTGGAAGGCTTCGCTCTCCGAGATTCGAGCGCCCTGAACTCTTCTTCAATCTGCGCTGGGTGCCCGTTGGCCACTGAACTTGGGCTTGCCTTGGGGTTCTGAAGGCATTGGATTCAGTGCCAAAACCAGATCCTTTCGAGCGCCGCACAGAATCCCTTCTTGCGGGGGTTTGAACACGTCACAGGCTTCTCCGATTTTGCCACACCTCTTGACCATGCGCCTTCCCGGGAGATGCGGGTGCATGACTCCCTACAAACCGGGAACTCGAGAAACGAGGCGAGCGAGGCAACCCATGCACGAAAACCCCCGAGGTGTTAGAACCCCGACAAATCGTCTTCTATCGCCCAAAGGGGGGGAGGGAGGGGGCGGAAAGGAGGGGAGGTTGGGTTTTCTGGTGTCCTGCTGCTGTTTCTTTCCAACCCATAGAAAACCCGCCCAGTAGGTGGCCCAATCCGAAACCCGCCAGCCCAAGTGCCCCTTGCCTTCAGCAAGCTCGTGACCATCCTCGGATCTCAACGAATTGATCCCATGGGAGACGGTTGCGGGGTGGCTTCTTGTGGCCGAAAAGGGGCAATGAAGCAAGTAGGCGAAAAGCTCAGAGAGGCGCTTTGCCGGTCGAAAAGGGAAAACGCACTAAAGGAAAGGCGAGAAGCGTGAACAAGGCAAAATCGAGCCTGGCGATGAGGCACGGGAGGACACCACGCAGCCCTTGAAAAGCAGACTTCCAGTAAGGCACTGTGGATTTCTGTAAAGAAGGTGCTTCAACCTCCCCTTGACAAGCTGTTCTGCGGCCGGGTCAACGGGAGAAGAATGGACATCTCAGCGTACGGGTACCGGGCAGCCCTGATCAAAATCTGGTATTCAACCGCTGGATTCTTTGCGTGGTTTTGGGCAGCCGAGCCGAAAGCTTCACTTACCCACCTTTTGATCCATCTCAGAACCGATCCCAAGCGCGGCCCTTAGCTTCACCCAGGCTTTTGCTTGCCAACTAACTGCGCCCTCCCGTCCGAGGCGCGCGGGGCGGCGCGCCCAGTTCGCCACGAAGCCCTGCGCCCCGCCGCCCCGCAGCGCCCGGATCTCGCGGTCCATGGCCCATCCGGCGAACCGCTTGGGGGGCCCCACCGGCTCCCAGCGCAGGGTGGGCGCTCCCCGCTTCCGAGGCTGGGGAGCTCTTGTTTCCTGCGGCTCTTTTTGGGATCCTGCGTTTGTTTCCTGGGGAGTTTGTTTTTGTTGCATTTGGATTGGGGGAGGGAAAAAAACAGATGGACAAATTCAGTCGCAGCCTTCTCGCTTGGGCCCAGCCGGAGACCCTCTTGAGTTTTTTCTGCAGTGGCTTTGCGTCCCCGCCCAAACTGGAAATCGTGAGGGCCCCTCATCATTGCCTTGTGCTAATTTTGGGGCGCGAGGGCTCACGTACAAAAGCTGCCGCCCCTTTGTTGACAATTGGACCCCCGTCTCTGTGTATGAACTACTAACACCCACCCTTTCAAGGGCCACACTTGGAGCCCATCCCCCCCACCCCGCCCAAGTTGCTGGGCATCGGCAACTTGAGCCATGGAAGCAACGAGGTGGTACCGCCGTGGAAAAAAGGAACCTCCAAGCCAACCCTGGGAAAGTGCACCCTCCCTTTTACACACGAGCCGTGCGGCCCCTTTGTTTGGGTTTGTGTTAATTTGCGGGCAACCAAAGAGAAACACCACTCGCTTCGGGGGTTCCATATGGCTGTGGGTCAAAACCAATGGGATCCCATTTTGGTGTAGGTGAATTCACCACCCATGTTAGAACCTATTTTACTGGGGATTGATTGATGTTCACTGGGGGGCTAACCGGGATTTTGACCCGAACGCCATATTCGGCCAGCGCCAAGGCCTGCTCCGTCTTGTCCAGCTTGGCGAGCATAGGCCCCAGCACGGTATCGATGTCCACCAGGTTCTCGGACTGCTTCTTGATCTCGCCCACCTGGGGAACTTCACTTGCCTGGGCATCCTTCCTTATGGTCAGGACACTCCCTCAGGGCAGGTTTTTGAGAATCCCCCTCAAAAAGAAAAAAGAAGCGGAAGAAGAAAAAAAACGGGCAAGCGACCCACCTCATGCCAGGTCTTTTGGACAAGATCCAGCGCATTCGCAGGTAGGTTATTAATATGTGAGGGTCATTTTTCACTCTCTCACCTCGGACGGTCGAAATCCTTTTTTTTGCAGGGGTGTCCCCAAACCAAAAGGTGTTTTGCGGCGCCAGGTCCGCCCTTTCCAAGCGACATGCGGAGCCTGAGCCTGTGCCTGTGGATTGGTAAAAGGCGTCCTTCTTTGGCCAAGAGAAACCTTGACCAACAGATGAGTATTTGGCTAGGAAATGGTGGACCCCTTTGGTTTGTGAAGGAAAGCCAAAAGGTGACCAACTAGTTTCGGGGACCACTCATCCACAAAAAACACATCCCACCACAAGTTCTCACACGCTACTTCGTTTGCTGGGTCATTCGGAAAAACTGGGAGCCCAACTACTTGGTCACTGTTGACCCTTGCAAAGAGTTCAGAGCTGCGTGTTGGTCCAAGGGAAAATCTGACCAAATAGCCGTAACTGGCCTCACTCTTTTGCCATGATCAAAGTCACCCCCGATTTGTGGTGGGAAAATGGGGGAAACAACCACATGTTCTGACTTTGATCAATCATCAAAATCAGGACCAAACAGCCACAAAGACAAGGCAACTCTTGATCAACCCCCCGCCCATCCGTCCCCCCATCCCTGCGGCTGGAGGCACAAATCCGGTGATCTTGGTGCCAAGCCATTCGAAGTCAATTCCTTCCAGCAGCCTCGATCCAATTAGAATTCGGCCAGTGGCATACGACAATTTTCAGCGCTGCACAATAGCACCACGCGGCAGGAAATCAAGCCAGAAACCTGTGCAAAAGAAAAAAACAAAGAACTGCCAAGTAGTGGTGGCTTGGTTGACTTGCCAGAAACGATGTCCCCCAAGTTGCTACCACCTCTAGTTCTTCAACTTGGGAAACCCATGAATTTTGCACATCAACTTGCCAAGAGCACGAGCTACAAAAATGCCCCACCAAATTTCCCCAGAACAAGCCCCAGAAATGCCCTAAAGTTCCATGAACGCCTGAAAGAGGTGTGGCCTTTGGGCTTAAAATGAGGTGACCCCCGGCATGGCTTCCCTTTCAAAGCTAAAAGGGGGCTTCCCCCCAAAAAGAATGCAATTAACACCCAGCCTTTGCAGCAAAAAGAAGGTCGCTTTGAAAGCCGAGAAAAGGTCGGCTCCCCAAAAGCCGAGACCTTTGCTATTCAGCTCGGGATGGCTGGCCCTGCCTGGGGCAGGGTCGAGTGGGCCATTAACAAAGTGGACATATGGGTGTGGGTCAATATCAAAACGCCAGGGCACCGCAGGTTTCAGTCCTTGGTTCCATTTACCAGGGTTCCATTTCGGGTACCTGTTTTTGACCCACAGCCATATTATAATATTTATTCAGCCGTGGTTTCTCCTGATTGCACAAGAAGACCAACCATGATGGAGTTCTTTGATCCCTTCTTGCAATACTCGGAAAAATCAACTGGAGGGACCGTCAACTATCAGACGCTATCAGGCCGGCTTGCGCTACAATCATGGTTAAGTGGGGCAACTCCTTTCATCCCACTGAATTTCCTTCGGCTACAACTTGCTTCAGAAGTAGCCAAAACAATTCCATCGCTAAATCAAATCCAAACGGCAAATGTGTCAAAACTAAGGGTGCCTGCAACAAGCCTTTGGGGAGGTCTCGTGCCTGCTCAAAAGACAGGCAAAAACATGCTTCAAACCTGTTAGCCCTTTACTAGCATGATATTTATCCCAAAAACTTGCAGTTCCAGACTGACCAGGTTTTCTTGGCCGGACAATCCCGCCGTGCGACTGGTTGTAGTCGTAGAGCCGTCGCCCTTCCGCACCCGCGTCACGCAGCCTTGCGGCCGGGCTTGGTTGAACACAAGGAGGCCCCGGAACAAATTGGCTTGAGTCAGAATGGACCCCAAAAGAGCAGGCAGCCGAAAGGTTTGCCTTCTTTGGGGTAACCCGTTTTGTGCTGATGTTAAAGGGACAAAACAAAAGGAAAACCTCCAGCCCTTTCGTGGGGCCCCAAATGTTTTCAACCCGTCTTAGAGGAACCGAAAGGCAACGACCGCTCAGAGACAGGGGCTGGGGCAGCTCCTTTACCTGAATCCAAACAGAAGATGCTATTGTTTCCACATCCAGGTCTTCCAATCGGCTTGGAACTGACACATGTTCACAGCATTTCTCTGCGAGCCAGATTTGCCTTCCACCCATCTTGCCGGGCAATCGTAGATCAGCCCGTGTAATTCAGTGACCCATCCTGGCCGCGGCCTTTCCGTGGCCCCGTCCGCCCAAAGCGACGCCTGCGTCCGCCCAGCTTGGACACGATGCTCACGATGGCGTCCTGCAAGCCAAGCCCCACTCTAAATCACCTGCCGGGACTTCTGCCTTTAGCCAGACAGCTTGTGGCTGGGCTCTGGAATTGACATCCCTACTTCTGCAACAGCGGTAAAGCCTTCCTACCAACTCATCCCCATGCAAGAAGGTATCCCAGAAGTAGGCACCAACCCCGCACTGCCCAAAACACACACTTGCGCTTTGTTCTCCGCACTCCTGCGTACACATGTGTGGTATTCCACTTTGGTGCTCACAGGTTGAAGTTGCAACGTGGCTGCCACAAACCTTTGACAACCAAATAAAACGGGGTTCTTCCTATCAGGCGCATGCACCGATCTGCGGCCGCGTAATGGGGGAGTTCCCCGAAATTTCTGGGCCGCTTCCCTTTGGTGCAGCAGCCTTGATCTGGCCGAAGACGCCGATGGCGGAGCTGAGGGCGCTCCCCAGGACGTCCAAAATGGTGTTGCCTCACCCACGTGTCTCTCTCAAAATGGGGCACCCCCCAACATGGCTGCGTGTTTGTTCCCGTTGATGTCCCATTCAAACCAAGCAAAAAAAAAAAAAAGGAGTACACTCAAGAGATGAATTGATGATACCTTCGGATGAACTAAGCCCCTGGTTGGTTGATACGGGTCGTTTGGTGGGGATCCGGGATCCTTCAAGCTATCTGGGGTCAACACGGCAGGCGCAACTTGGGAACTAGAAGTTTAGCCCAAGTAGATTGTTGCCCAAGTAAGCGAAACAATTAAACGGCTCAGCTCACTTGCAATCATGCTTGCCACTGGCTAAGTGGGCTAAACTTTCAAGAAGGGAAACCTTTGTCATTAAAGCGACCCCCATGAGAATTGCCAGTGTGGGCTTTGGGCGCTCAAGTGTATCAAATCAGACGGACCCAAACGAGTTCTCACTCAGCCTGGGTCGGCAGGAGAACGCCGACTTCTTTGGCCAACTTCTGACCCTCTAAGACTCTACAAGCCAAACTGCCGCCATTGCCGACAAAAAGCCCTGCACCATTTCATAGATTCACAGGGCTTCATGCCCCACTGGTGCCGATCGGCCGGGATTTGGCAACCATCCACACGTCAAACAACTTGCTGGCTTGTTGCTTCTGGATCCATGCGATCAAGTGGAGGGAGATTCCTCCTCTTTCTGGGTACCACGTTGAAAATGGACTTGCCCACCAAAGGCATTGCAACTATTCCATCTATCCCCAACACAGAAACAGAATGCACCAAAGAACTGGCCCGCAAGAATCTAACTCATCCAAATGCATCCTTCACCCAAATGCATCCTTCATCTGACTGCATTACTCTGATTGGTGGTTTGGATTGGTGGTTTGGGGATTTTATCACCAATTGCTTTTCGCTTGGGTGGTACTTGCCAAGCACGTTTGATCACTTGTTCGCCTGACGGGGCACTGCTGAGCAGGGACCGCACGCAGTGCGTCAGCTGCGACAGCAAGCCCTGGTTTGTGCTCAGCTCCGCAGCACCGCTCGCTTCTCGGACCGCAACGGAGAGGGGCTTCCGGTGGAGGGAAGCGAGTGGCAGGGAAAACCGAAAACGTATCGCCTCCGAACTGCGGGGAGAAAAAACAAGCACCTCAAAGTCAAAAAAAAGCCGCGACCGACGTGACTTCGAGCCCCGCTTTGTTGCTTGAAACGGGCTCGAAGGGGTTACCCGGTGACCCCGGATCTGTTCAGCTTCAGGGACCCCTGGAAAGGGATTGCTTGAGAGAACTGATCTTTCCAGCTGCCCCGCTGGTTTAAAGGGTGATCTTTACTCACCTCCCCGAGGTTCCTGGAATGCATCCTGACACCTCCATTCCACCAGGAATTCAGGGGAAACCTTTTTTGCAGAGCTCAAGCCCATGGAAGTACAGCCTTTAACCTCAAGTAGAAAAATATAGCCAGGTTTCCCGTACCAGGTGGTCCATTTCAGACGAAAACCTTCCGGGCCGTGTCAGGTTCTATGTTGGTGGATGAATCGCTACCCGGAAATGACAGCGCCGTTTCTTGAAAAGCAAGCATTCGCGACATCCAAAGGGCAACTAGACACTGATCAAGCCTATCTGCCTGGTGCATGGAAACCTCGTTGCCTTTTTCTGGTAACCAATTCCTGCCCCTTTTGCCTCCCAAAAACCAAGCCATGCTGGGGAGAATGTTCCAAACAAGGGGCTGTTCGAGCTCCACCACGTGGCTGTGGCTCAAAAACCCGGAATTCCAAAATGGAACCCGATCGGTAAGTGGAAAAACATGGACCAAGACCTGCGTAATTAACCCCTCCTGTCTAATTTTGATTGAGCCACACCCCACGTCTTCCCCGCTTTCCACACCCCAGACACACACACACACACACCGTCCCCCCCCTTTTCCCCGCTCCAAGCCGCTGGAGAAGGCCGGCTCCAGGGGCTTGAAGTCTGACGGACAGAATGGGAGGGAAGGATTCTGACGCTGGAGGAAAGATGCGGAGCGAAACCAGAAAGCCAGGCCTTCCCAAAACGACCGTCGAGGTTACTCAAAAAAACCTCCGGACTGCCAGCTTGCAGTTAAATCGCCAAGGGATCCTTACCAGCCAGATCGTTCAGGCCAAGGTTGCCAGGCAAGCGCGACATCGGGCACGTGTACCAGAAGTGCCAACACTGCCTTTTCACCACATGCGTACAAGGAAACCCGCCCTACTGTACCACTTCCCTTGCCCAGATGCTAATGTGGAAAGGGCTCCGTCCGCATTTTGCCCACATACACACACAACACACAAGTTCCCTCCCCTTGCTGCAACGCATGCATGACTCAAGTCACATTGCCAAACCCTGGGAGAAAAAAAAGCAAGCACTCTCCCCCACCTCCCACCAAATCCTCAATCCGACTCTTGAAAACCAGCCACAGAAGGCGCACCTCAAAAAGCAAAAACAAAAAAAAAGGCACCTCCGCGCCCCTCTCCCGAAATCCGACGAGTCGACCCCAAAAACAACATGCTTCGGGCGGAGGCGAAAAACGCCTCCGAGTCGACCAAAGGAGGCCGACTCGGCCGACTCGGCCGTGTCAAAGCGGCGCCTTCGTAGACCGTGCCCATCTTGTCCCCCAGCTTTAGCATGCTGCCCCAGGCTTCGCTGGTCAGCTGCTGGCCCTCCTCGATGTAGGTGTTCCTCAACCCCCGCCCCCTTTCTGTGGGATTGGCCTGGGGAACAAACGATCCACCTCAAAGGGAGCCCGCATGGTCAGAAAATGTCAAAGCGGCGCCTTCGTAGACCGTGCCCATCTTGTCCCCCAGCTTTAGCATGCTGCCCCAGGCTTCGCTGGTCAGCTGCTGGCCCTCCTCGATGTAGGTGTTCCTCAACCCCCGCCCCCTTTCTGTGGGATTGGCCTGGGGAACAAACGATCCACCTCAAAGGGAGCCCGCATGGTCAGAAAATGGCGCGCTTTTAGAATGATTGCTGAATTTAGCCAAGCTAAGAATAATCACAGCACGAAAAATGGAAAGTCGCTTTAAACGAAAACAGGAAAGTCGCCTTAAACGGGCCAAGGTGATGCTTTTTGTTTCAACCCAGCCAGGAAAACCCCTGATACATTGGGGCATAAGTGCACCACCGAGCGGCGACTTCTCCACCAAGCC